CCCACCTGGAGAACTGCATCCAGCTCTGGAGCCCTCAGCATAAGAAAGACATGGCTCTGTTGGAGCGGGTCCAGAGGAGGGACACGAGGATGACCAGAGGGCTGGAACACCTCTGCTGGAGAAAGACCGAGAGAGTTGGGGTTGTTCAGCCTGGAGAAGAGAAGGCTCTGGGGAGACCTTATTGCAGCCTGTCAGTACTTAAAGGGGGCTTATAAAAAAGATGGCGGCAGACTTTTTAGCAGGGCCTGTTGCGACAGGACAAGGGGCGACGATTTTAAACTGAAAGAGGGTAGGGTTAGACTGGACATAGGGAAGAAATTGTTTATGCTGAGGGTGGTGAGACACTGGCCCAGGTTGCCCAGAGAGGTGGTGGATGCCCCATCCCTGGAAGTGTTCGAGGCCAGGAGCAGGGCCTGTTGCGACAGGACAAGGGGCGACGATTTTAAACTGAAAGAGGGTAGGGTTAGACTGGACATAGGGAAGAAATTGTTTATGCTGAGGGTGGTGAGACACTGGCCCAGGTTGCCCAGAGAGGTGGTGGATGCCCCATCCCTGGAAGTGTTCGAGGCCAGGCTGGACGGGGCTTTGAGCAACCTGGTCTGGTGGAAGGTGTCCCTGCCCACGGCAGGGGGGCTGGGACTAGATGATCTTTAAGGATCCCTTCCAACCCAAACCATTCTGTGACCCTCTGACATCATCCCAAAGGTACCTCGGCCCTTCCCCGGGGCTGGTGTCCCTGCCGGGGAGCAGCCTGGCCCCAGGCGGTGATGTAGCACAGAGAGGGGACCCCCACCCTGTTCCACAGCCCTCGCCTGCCCTGCACAGGGGCACCCCCGGGGCCGTGCTGGGGACGGTGCTGTATGTGGGCACCTGGGGCAGCGGCAGGTGGGGGTCCATGGCACCTGGTGTGTGTTTGCAGGGACCTGACGGAGAACCCCCTGACAACCCTCCCCAACAGCTCCTTCCTGGGCTTCACCCACCTGCAGCACCTGTGAGTAGCGGGGAGGGGGCGCGGGGGCTGCCGCAGTGCCGGGTGCTGAGCTCTGCTCCCCAGCGCGGTGCCGCTGGCGCTGGAGTGCCCGGGCGGGAGCAGCGCCTGGGAGGAGGTGACGACGCATGGGAGCAGCCGGCTCTGCCAGGGCCAGAGGAACCCCTGCAACGGCTCCGGGGAGCTCGGTACGGTGGGGTGCCGTGTCCCTGGCACTGGGCACCGCAGGGCTGGCAGGTGGGGGCTGGCCCTGGCCTGGCCCTGTAACCCCCTGCTCTGCTCCGCCAGCCTGGCTGTGCCCTGAGAACGCTGCCTGTGCCCCGGACGGCCCCGGCCTTGTCCAGTGCCTCTGAAACAGCCCCTTCCACGGCTACAAGTGCCTGCGCGAGGTGAGCGCCTGTGGGATGGGACCCCCCTCTCCGAGTGCCCCCCGGCCGGAGCTGGAGCAGCGTGAGCTGCGCGGGGTGGTGGTGGGCAGCGCCGCTCACTGTTGCTTCCTCACAGGGCACATTCCCCGTGCTGCTCTTCTGCGGGATCCTGGGAGCCGTCACCCTGGCCCTGTCTCTCCTGCTGTGGGGCACCCAGCGCAGGAAAGCCAAGACCCCCTGAGGAGGGGGGGGGGGGGGT